GTTGATTAGATGCCTCTTAACCAAGACTAGTTATTTTTCTTTGAATTCTCCAGTGGTTAGCATGGGACTACCATGGAGTGTAGGCTCAGTAAATGTTGTCTGCTTGGCAGCTGGTCGGCTGGTTTCCTCAAGATGTAGGGAACAGCTTCACAAAGAAAACAACTGAGATATGCATCTGAGAAAATAGGACCTTTGAGGGTAGGGTTAAAAAAAAAAAGAGCTCTGAGAGCCAAGAGCCAAGTCTTAAAGAATAAATATATGGAAGAAGCAAAAGGAAATATGAGCAGATAGAAGAAACAGGTCAAGTTACTAAGAGAACAAAAGCAAAAAGATAAGGTGAAGAAGGAAAGAAAAAGGAAGGAAACAGGGAAAAGAGGATAGGAAAAAGAAAAGACATGGAAAGAGAAAGAAAAAGCATAAACAAGAATGGAATCAGAGGAGCCAGGCAAGAAGAGATGCAACTTATTTACATTCTAATGCTATATCTGCAAGATTCAAATAGAGAATGTACAGCTAAAGATATTACAAAGTCACATTTAGTGAGAAAAACTGAAAATCATTAAAATGCTTCCTTAATAACTTAAAGTAAATAAATGAATGGCTCCTGTCACAGTGATTCATCTATTGCATCTGGGTACTCAATAAATGTTAATTGAATTAAATTAATAACATTTGCACAGCAGTAATAAAAAATTAATTAACTGTCTATCTTTCTGTTACTTAGTTATGCCCACTGGTTCACGCAATTATTTCTAACCCAAACATGAATTTTCTATTTCAATGATTTTCAAGATATACTTTATTTCTTATCTAAAAACTAACTATAGATGAGCTCCTAATTTTTGTTCTAATTTTTTGTCTTAAAAATTATTTTCTCTGGGTTAATGTCATAAACTATGTATAACATTCCAAATATAGTTTCACAAGTTCCTTATTTAATTCCAAAATAGTTTTCTCTCAGAAGATGTGATACCACTTTTTACATGTTACTTCTTTTAGCTTATGTTACTTTATAATATTTCAAATACAATGTCAAGCAACACTGTAAGGCAAGACTCTGGGAAAATTATTGTTAGTACCCCATCTATATAAAATATGGAAGATTTCAGTAACATTCACCAAAAATTGTGACTCACTTCAGATGTCAGAATTCTGGGTTGAACAGACTGGTTCTGAAATGTGTGTATGTCAGATGATTTTTTAATGAGCAACAGATAGCTGACACTGGGGAATGAAAAAAATAAAAATATAAACAGAGACACAGAATTAAAATAACTTTATGAATGGCAGTTCAACTTGTCCATAAAATTCTCTCAGTACTAGCCTAGCATGCTCCAAATGGTTGCTTAATGTAGCACACCACTTACATTCAAAATGCTATACTTAAAATTGCTACAAAATTAAAGAGACAATCATATATCCCTTGGCTGTATACTGTGTCCTCCTCATGTTCTTACATTCCACTAACCTCCATCCAACTCTTTTGTTACTGAGTTACTTTATGCAAAAGCCATTTAAATTACATGCAGCCTGACTGTGTGTGATCAGTTGAATTGATTATTAATTGATCTGTTAAGTAAATAGCTGCTGCAATCTCTATGCGCATCACAGCTTCATTTTCTATTGACTTATTCTGAGCTGCTGTTTAGCGCACGGTACAAAGCAGCTGTAGTTCAGTAGGCAGGATTCCCTGAGTGTACAAGAAGCTTCTTTGCAAGCAACACTCAGAAAAATACAGCCTGTCAAGCTAAGTTATTTGAAAGACTGGATTTGGGGACACACCTCAGGATTTAGGGTGCAGAAGGCAATGTGCATTCTCAGCAGTTAGGATGCTGACATAAAATTTAAGAATAAGTAAGAGATATTTTGAATAATACAAAGGATAAAAGCTAAGCTGTTTGAATTTACTAACCCTAGGTTTGAATACCAATTGTAACACTGACCAAAGAAGGATCTTTGGACAACTTGCTCAATGAGTATGCTAAGCCTTGATAACTCTCTTTTATTAACTGGAGATACCAATTTCTATTTTTTCTGTTGAAGGAAGCCAATAGAATCTAAATCCTATATTATCTGATATGCTTATGTTCAACAAGGTATAGCAAGTATGTAAGTGGTAATAGAAATAGGCAATGCATGTGTGTATTTGTGTGTGTGAGTGTGTAAGTGTGGGTAAAATAGTGGTTTATATCTTGGTGATTTTGTTCCATAGGAGAAGCATGATAATGCCTATATATGTCACAATGTATGGAGGCAGGTGCTATTGGCATCTAGTATACAGACAGAGATAGAGCTAAATGTCATACAGTCTCCCCATAACAAAAGAGAGAGAGAGAGAGAGAGAGAGAGAGAGAGAGAGAGAGAGAGAGAGAGTTGATTGATACATAGATAGATGGATAGATAGGTAAGTAGATAAATAAATGATAGATAGATAGATAGATAGATAGATAGATAGATAGATAGATAGATAATAGATAATTAGATAGATAGATCTGCCCAAAATACCAATATTTTGTGATATGGGCTGATTACTGGATGTTTTGATATCTAAGTAAAGAAAATTCACTATTACTTTTGTTGTCATCACTGAATTGTTAATTTGGTGAATTCTTCTTGAATTAGAAGGTTTTTCTCAATGTGCTGAGCCAATTCTATTTCAATATTCAGTAGAACATTAATTACTATTAACAACCGATTTTGCCTGAATTCCTATCTTTGCTAAGTTCTTTTAGGGTGGACTAAACCCCAACCAAGAGATATAATGAGGGAAGTATATGGGAAAGGGATAAGGTTAAGCATTATTGAAATGTAAGATTGTTTGTAAAATCAGAAAGAAACAAAAACGGCCTGACATGACTACGTACAGCAGACTGTTAAGTCTGGTGCCAGTTACAGCCTTCAGAGTGGCCATCCCATGATTAGATGGTCACTGACTGATGAGTCTAGAATGTTCTCTCCTTCCCACCACTCTCATGATTAGGAGGCCTCTAGGCTTCCCAAACCTGTGTGAATTTTGGAGTCACCTGGGAAGTTTCAAAAACCCTATAGGATTGTGATCTGCTGAGGAAAAAGCTGACAGAATCTTCAAAATTACAAGCTTTTAAATTTCTCTAGTGATAGTGCTCTGCATAAGAGAACCGTTGCCATAGAACCAAGCTCAAATTTCCCTTTGGGCGAAATGAAGAAGCAGCTATAGAACAAACAGAAGAAATGGACTTAGCAAAATAAATTTCTTGCACAGAGCTGTATAAATATGGTAAAATCAAACCAAGTAGATCTTTTTTCTTTTTCTTTTTTGAGACAGGGTCTCACTATGCAGTATCACTTTGTAGCCTAGACTGGTCTCAAACTCTCAACAATCCTCCTGCCTCAGCCGCCCAAGTGCTAGGATTACAAGTGTGCACCACCATGCTTGGCTCAATCATATTACTTGTGTCAGTCAACAATCATTATTGAATCATCCAGATACTAAGTAGCTATGGGACTACAACTCCCCAGAACACATCTTTACCCCCTACCCAATAATTCTGCCTGATCATCAAGACTCTTGCTTATTTAGTTCTTAAAATGTCCCTGGGAACCAGCCTGCCCGCATTTTTGAAAATACTTTCCTCACTTTTCTCTTTTCCTCATCTTAGGACTCTACTCATTGGGTCAGTCATAAATTTAGTTTAGTTCCATTCAGTCTGGTCTACTCTCTAACAAGACTTCATGGGCTGCTTCTCTCATATACTTTTAAGCACTGAAACTTATGCAGTCACTTCCTTCCTAATTTGTTTGATGCCTACGAAGACCAGGGACTGCTCCTGTTTCAGTCACCACTGCACCCTGACATTCAGTGCCTGTTGCTACAGACTCTGAGTTATTATGTGGCATTCAGGAATGAATACAGGAGTTCTAAAATACATGAATTACATGAGCCTCATGAGCTTTCTCTTTCTCTTCAAACCACAGTGTTGGACAGGGATTTTGCCAGAAGTTCTCTGAACAACTCTAACAATTGTGCCAGATGATTACATAGAATATAGCATGCCCCTAGAATATAGCATGTGCACCCCTAGTACCACACAGGCAGATAACTGAGCCTGAGAAATGGATAGCAACCAAATATCACTGAGGGCAGAAGGGAAAGCAGCTTATATATTATTCATCTGTGCTACGTTTTGTGTCTAGATGCTCCACAAAGCCTCATTCAGTCTTAGCACTCTTTCAGAGTTCGCTCAACCTGGGGCATGTGGTGCTGAGATTAAGGGCATATGATTACCAAATCAGTCCACTAAGTGGTCCGGCGCTATCTTAATCCCAGCAGTCTAGTTATAAGGAAAGTGGCAGAAAGATGCTGCTAAACTTTCTTATTGCCTTTGCTGTCTTCCACTACCTAGAATTGTTGCCCCTCTGCCATGTGCCACCCTGCCTTGGAGCCAGTCACTTATGGGCTGAAACCTCTAGGAAGTGTGAGCTAAATAAACTGTCCCCCTTTAACCTTGGATGTTGGGTATTTTGACAGCAATAAGAAAAAAGAGACTAAGACAATCTCTATCTAGTTTTTCTTATAAAGTAGAGAAAACTGACATTTGCAGAAATAATAATTAATAATAATAAAATGATTTGATTGAGATCATGTAAATTATTCAGCAGTACAACCCAGTATTAAGAACTTTCTTCTGCTTCTCTGTGTCAGGCCCACTGGGGCAGAATATGGGAAACATTCTGAGATGTTTTGGATCTAACTGAATGAATTTCTTGATTCTCCCACTCATAAAAAACGTAATTGTAAAAATATGTATTACAGATTAATATTAAACAGCAAAATTTGTAACATGATAAGAGTTTATAATCATATTTTCTTATATTTCTTCATGATATTTCTGCTCAACAAATTTTCATTACTTTTAATGACATTTTGTTTTTATCAAGTCTAGAATGTGAATTTTTGGTAAATTTTCATTCTTAGATCACTGGGCAGACTACGTATGTGTGTATTATTTTTTTTAACCTAGATATGCAACTCACAAGTGAAAAGCATACGGATGAGAAACCCATTAATGCTATCGTTATAAATTCAGTATCCGAATTCAATATCACAGATGGACCAGCCAAGGAAGCCTCCAATGAGAAAAACCTGTCAGAGTCCAGCACATCACTGTCCTCCCTTGAAGAATGCCACACAAAATTTTCCTACCTCCACACCGATACTTCAGTTCCTCAGAGAGACACTGATGGTATGTTTCTCAGCATTCAACCATCTCTAAATAAAGCTCCCCAGCCCCCAGCCCCTGTAAAATCACCACATATGCTCTTAGGGAAAAAAAAAGACTTTATGAATATTAAACAGGATGACTTCGATTTGAAAACCCTGGTGAATGACACATGTCAAGGTCACTTTGCAGTTACTAGGTGCTTGGCAGATTGTTTGCTCTCAAAACAGGGGATCAGAGGCAATGTGTTTTAAATAGCTTGAGTGGAGCATAATCATTTGTGTATGGAACCGGGAAGCAGATAAAGAAATGTGGCAAACTTCTTCCTCTTCTCACATAGGAACTACTCAGCTTGTAGCTCTAGGAAGATGAGAGAAGAAGACAGAGTAGAACTGTATTAAAATACAGGAATATAAGCTATACACAATATCAAGATGTTTACATCAGCAATCTCTAGAAAAGTGTTGATTTCTCCAGATATTATTGCTTTCTAGACCTTCTGATCAGTGCAAATCTAGATCAAACCATGTCAGACAGGACACAGACACCCAATTTGCAAAGTCAGTTTCAAGTTGACTTAGTACTAAATGACCATAATCAAGCTCAACGCCACGGACTCCACACTATGCCACAGGAAACATAACTCAGTTCACTGTGCAGTGACCTTTATGGAAATACAAGCCACTCCAGAGCTGTGTAACGTTCAATGTACACAATTGCACTTAAAGAAGCCCTGGGGTTGGGAAAGGAAAGTGTAACAGAGCATTACTGTTTCTGATCCAAACTTCAATTCACATTTAATTTTTAAAATAAAAGAAAAAAATTTTTAAAAATTGTATAAAAGCACCTCTGGGGGGATAACAGTCCAGCTCTTGCCTCTGAAGTCAAGTTTTGCAACAGTAACTGTTCAAGCTGTAGTTCTGTCAGCCATTTTAGAATCTCAGTCTCTCAACGATATCATAGGTGAAGTAACACACCATGAGGCATTCTGAGGATCAAGTAAAATAACAAGTATAAAGCACCTGGTACAAGAATTGGCCATAGTAGAAACTATCTAGAAACATAAATCTTAGGTTTTCTACAACTAAAGTCTTAGAGAGGCAGGAGAGTGAAGCCTTCTATCATGCTGCCAGTGTGGCTTCATGTACAAATGTGGCCACGGATGTTTTACACTAGAAACTACAGACCTGACTCTAGCAGCTGCCAGCAGCGCATGTGGTTAATGACAAACTGGAAACAAACAACAGGGACTCGTGAGGACTGAGGTACGTGCGTCTAATGGTCACTGTTTCTACCCAGCTCCACTAGAGTGCTGGCAGAGGAAACATAGGCTCAGTGTTGCCTCTTGAAGCTTTCCAAGAATAGCCAGATGTTAGGATTGTAATGTGAAGTTTCTATAATTTTCACTGTTGATAACTAATTCTGTTAATTTAGGGAACCCAACGTACTCCCAACAATGTATCTTTGGACTACTGCTAGCCTATACACTACAGCCTAGATCTGGGATGACTCTTAAATTTCCAGCTTTTGTGCAGATGAATGCCAAAAGCAGGCAATGCAAGACAGTTAAGCATTCCGACACTATAGCATTCTCCTAAGCGGTGCTAGGGATGCACTGCTCTTATTCATCTTGTGCATTGGGCCAAGGACCCCAGGATCTGGAATTTCTGTGCTATATGCCCATAGAGGAAAACAGTGTTCCCAGAACCACTCTACTCTGTTCCATAAGGAGTCCTGGGGGAAGGATAAGGGCCAGGCTACTAGCATGATATCTAGGCCTTTGGGCTATCAGGGAAGGGCCAGCATGACTACTTTATCAAAATGCTCCAGACTCACACCAGAAAATAACACATTACTGCATTCAAAAGGGCAAAGGATTCTGAGGTGGTGGCCCAGGCTTGTAATATCAGCACCTGGATGGCTGCAGCAGGAGGATCATTGTGAGCTTGAGACCAGCCTAGGCTACATAGTGAATTCAAGGTCATCCTGAACTAAACAGTGAGTCTGTCTCAAAAGAAAGGAAGGAAGGAAAGAAGGAAGGAAGGGAAAAAGGAAGGAAGGAAGGAAGGAAGGAAGGAAGGAAGGAAGGAAGGAAGGAAGGAAGGAAAACAGAAAGACAGAAAGAAAAACACAAGAGATTCATTGAAGCAGGTTGTTTTCTAAAGGACTGGATGAGCCAGGTCAGTATGACCCAGGAAGTGCATGTCTTAAACTGATGGCATAGGTAAGGGACCACCATTCTTTTTTGCCTTCATGACAGATTTTCCCAGTGAAGGAAGCAATTCTGATTACTGGACAAAAGACAGAATAGAAAAACCAAGCAAGAACCACAAAGCATGATGCAAAACTCTCATTATCTGTCCAAAACAGTGAACAGAGGAAAATGAAGAGTTAAATCAGCCTTACTCCATTTTAGAGAATTTTTGATAGTAATTAATTTAAGGATACAGAAATTGAGAACTGGGGTCATTGTTCGTACTGAGATAAATACAGAAATATCTTTCAGGAACAGCAGGGAAAACAGAAGGGAAAAGAGAAGATTGCATCCACTTTCATGTAGTTTGTGGTTAATTTATCTTCAAATGTATAAATGAGTGCATAGGAATGGATGCTTAATTGCTAATATCTATTATTTATATACATTGCCCCACTTAAAACAGGATAGAAAAGCTCCACACATGCAGATTTTGTAAAATGTGTTGCATCCATTAGCGCAGTTCATGGTGTGTGCTCTGATGGGAATTTAAAAGGATCTTTACTGCACATCACACACTATGTGCTGCAACATTATTATTAAATTGTGGTTCATCGTGTGTGGTCCCCCTCCCAGGAAAGTGGAAAAAGTCCAGAGAGCCTTCTGCACCTGCTTCTCTGTCTACATTACTCTGATTACAAGAACACCCCAGAGGATTTTAAAAAAATCAAGATACACATGATATCACAAAATAAGTTCCTTAAAAATAATTCTGATAATACACCTAATAGATGTGTAATTGTGAATTTGATACATCTCATCCAGGTGGAAAAAGAAAATCATAAATACAAGATACCTCAAAAGAATAGTCTTAATTATACCATGGACTACTGAATAAAATGATTACATTTTCTACACTATAAATTTCATACAATTAAATGCAGTGGTGTCACCTTATAAAATGTTTCAATTTTATAATTATTTCAGTTCATTTGCTCAGAAAAAAACATAAGCACCAATTTACCAAGTATCACCCAAATCTAGTCATTCTGGTTTTAAAGAACTGACTTGATGTTAGTTGTGCTTGTCTGAGCTTAAATAGATTTTGACATATTTAAATGGCTATTAAAATTGATAACATCAGGGATGATACTTCAGCTAGAGAAAAGCATTTGGTTACTGTATTCATTCCCATTCTACATTACAGATGTATTTTTGAGAATTTAATGTTTGGGGAATGGGACACAATTTTTATTCTTGTGAACCCAAGACTTGTAGCAATCAACCAGTCCCTGAGTCATGATGTTCAGCATGATGATAAATTCTCCAGACAGTGCAGGTTTGTCTGGACCCCTGTGCCCATGGCTTGGCTGCCGTGCAGCACTGGGATAAAACCCAGGACCTCTGCACAGAGCTACAGCCCCAGACCTAACTGAGTTGCCCAGATGGGGATCAAACTTGTAATCTTCCTGCCTCAGCCTCCCACAGGCCTACCCCAACCCCCAGCACTGGCTTCTTTTTTATTTCCTTATTTTTAGTTTGCTTTGTTTTGAAGGGGGGATTGTTATTTACCTAGGATCACTGCTGCAAGAACCATAGTTTTGCTACTTTAGATAACCATCCCCAGGGTACCAGAGGACATTTTTCTAAGTTGAATCATGTTGCAGGAGCCACAGTTGACACCACGGATGCCCCTCATCTCTCTCCCTTCTAATCATGGGTGGACATAGGGTGGCTTGCCAAGAAGCCAAGAGTAGGGGCAAAGGTCAAGGAATACAGGATTGTGATCATGGAGCTGACCCAGGTGCATTTGCAGAATTTCCTTGCATTGTTACCTATTCTGCCATAATTAAACCTGATTCATTCACATGAGACAGATTCTTAATTAGCCAATCCCCAGTTGTACATTTAACACCTCTGGAAGCTGCATTAATTCTTCGGTGTCATTAGAGTATCACCACTTAGCACATTACAAGTTTAGTATCCTAAAAGTACTCCAGGGGTATAAATAGGAAATGAGGCAACCCTGGGGGATTTTGTCCTAGCTCTGAACATAAGCAAATACTACTTTGGGCTCTGGGGAACCAGATCGCCAATCCATCTTAAACCACCTATATTCCAGGTTTAAGAAGTGGAAAATACAGATGCACATTTTGACAGCAGAGATTAGAGCTACTGCTAGGTGGCCAGGGGCCCCAGAGAAGGGAACCTGTCACAAGGTTCTAGAGGAGCTGAAAGGTCAAGTGCAGTGAGCAGTGAGGCACCCAGAACTTAGAAACCACAAAAGTCTTGCTTCGCTATATTCTCCCAGAGCACAAAGAGATGGCTGTAATGGTACTAGCTTTAAATCACTAGTCAGGCACTATCCCTAGAGAGATCACTGGTGACTATCATTACACAGAATCATAAAGAACAGGCTACCCAAGCATATAAATAGAGGAGAAGACCTGGACAGTGCCTAAGACAGCAGGGAGTTGGCAGTACAACCAGCCTGTTCTCCCCTTTCTCCCAGCCTCCCAGATCCTCTTGTTGCCTGGTACCTGCAGAAACCACTAAAGGAACCTGAAGAATACTTTGTCAGCCTACAGAATCCAGAGCAGGAAAAAGACAAGAAACAGGCCTTCAGGAAGGCACTAGGACCTTGCACTATACTCAAAACTGGCAGGAAGAGAGTGTAAATGTGTTACAGAGGGCAGGCCAGTTTTCTAATTTAAAGTTCTGGATGAGACAGTCTGGGTCCAATCTCAGTTCTACCACTTGCTGTGTTTCTTGGGGCCACCCTGCTGGACTCTGAGCCATAATGCCCTCATTTATAAGCAGGCATGAAAGCAGTATTGTTACGATTTAGGTCTAGTTGTCCCCCACAAAGCCTCATGCAGTCATGAGGTGGCTTCTAGAGTTTGTGATTCACCCATGCTGCAATGCTGGGATTATGGCTGTGAGTCGTACACCTGCCCTGAGGTGGACAGCCTGAGTACAATATGGGCAGGGGAAGAGGCTTGCTGCTGCTGCAGCTGCTGCCCCTCCCCTGGCTCTTTGCTGTTTTCAGCGCCATGAAGTGCTGCCCTCTGCCATGTGCCGCTCTGCCTTAGAGCCAGCCAAGTATGGGCTGAAACCTCCACTAACTGTGAGCTAAATAAACCTCTCCTTCCTGAATTTGGGGTGTTGGGTATTTTGTCCCAGCAACGAGAGAAAGGTAACCAAGACAAGAAGTATCAATTGAGCATCATTTTGAGGCTTGTGTGAGAGGCACACAGCATAGATGACTGCAAGGTGGCTTTCAGTCGGTTAACTGCACAGAGATCAGGAGAGCAGAGTGCAGGCCTTGGGTGGAGACAGAATTAGATGTGAGCATCTTCTCAGCCACCTACAATTAGGAGGACTCAGGGCACACTCTGACAGTCTCTGAAACTTAGTGCTTCATCCAGAATGGGCCCAGCACTTAGGAGGCTGAGGCAGGAGGATTGCTGTGAATTTGAAGCCAGCCCAGGCTACACAGTGAATTCAAGGCCCAGCTGAAATGAAAATCAAGACCCCATCTCAAAAACAGAAGAAACAAATAAGAATAAACAAATAAAATGGGGATCAAAATGCATTTACCTCTTAGAACCCATCATCGACTTACTCATTCACATTCAGAAAGAGACATGGCTTTCTACTTCCTGTAACTTAGATTCTAGTGGAGGAGAAACTAACAAAGTAAGTAAGTTAATATCCTGTGGTCCGCGTGATGAAGAAAAAAATAGAGCAGGTTTCTGTGAGTTTCAGCAACGGTATGACTTAGAGAGAAGGTCTGAACAGGAGCTGGGCAAAGCTGGGAAAGGGTGTGCAAAGGAAAGCACAATATGTGTGTTGCTTGTGAGCCAGTTTCTTGGCGAACACTGAAATCAGCCAGTGTCATCATAGTACAGAAAGAAGCAATGTGGTCTCAGAAGTCGGAGAAAGAGGCAAGAGCCCAGAGCTCTAGGACAGGCTGAGGACTCAAGACTAGAGGGGAAAGTGAGTCATTCTAATTTAGGATTAAAAGTAACCACGAGGGGGTCCAGGGAGATGGCTCAGTGGAATAAGCGCTTTCCTGGCAAGCTCAAAGGCCTGATTGGGGGGGGGGGGGAGTGAGAGGATACGTTATAAATAAATAAATAAATAAATAACCACGAGAACTGAGGAAGTCAACTCAGGTGGCCGCAGAAGGGCCGCTACAGATGTCCCGGCTGTGCTCCTCACCTCAGCTGATACGAGTCGGAACTGAGATGGCAGCTCTGCGGGTGTTAGGGCTGCAGTGACGAGCGGGATGAGGAGGGGCGGGGCAGCCAGAAAACGACAAAGACCGACCTTGAGACGGTGTAGGAGCCACTAAGAAGGGAAAGTGAGAGGACAGACAGGTGTATGGGATAGGGGAGAAGGACCCAAGGATAACTGAGCCTCTGTGAGACGCATTGAAGACGGTACAGAGGAGACGTGAAGTAAGGGCCGATGTACACCCAGGACCCTTCGGGATGGGCCCAGAGAGGGGTACTAATCATGGAAGGTCACGGCTGGTGGAGGTTACAGCCCTAGGAATAGGGGACAGCCAAACATCATCGTTCAGGAGCATGGGAAGTCCAGTCCTCCCCTAATAGTTACAGATTTTTCCCTGAACTACTTCTGTTACTTTTGGGCAAACAAAAATTGGCCATATGCAAAACAACTTTGCCTGCTCATGTAGAATTATTTAATACACCCTTTAGGGAAAGTGTAGAACACACTTGAAAGTTTGGAAAAATCTGTTTTCAATTCATTAATGTTACCATGTTTTCTTGGGCAAGAGGCTCTGCCTTTTATAACCAAATAAAAAGGACTGACTTAGAAACATAAAGGGGGGGCTCTATTCTCAAGTGCAAAATAGGGAGGTGAGGGGTAGCAAATGCCAATTTGGCCAAAGGATTAGGCCAAAACTTTTTTCTTCTTTTGTAAATAAAATCTGCAGTATACATTCGAAGCAGAGACCTCCAGAGTCTGCCAACTCAAGATGCTGGCAAGTGCAATTGAATCAAAAGGTTATGTGCCCTTGGGAAATTGTAAGGGCATTTTACACAGAGTTTCTTCACATTCTAATAAGAATCACCAATTCCTATCCTTAGACTCATCGCGCACCCTATTTATCTCCAAATGAAACCTTCAGCTTTACGTGTGTGAAGGATCCAGTAGGTTCACTGTAATACAGTCGGAAGTCCAAGTCTCCTGAGCCCCTAGCCTGAGGGATCAGGGAGTCTTGGTTTGGAATATGTTCTACTGAGAATTTCTTCCCTGCCAGGGGCTGCTATAGTAGCAGTCTTGGCACCGGTTAAACTCCATGAAGTTGTATGCCCCACGTCTCTGACCCCCAACATGCCCTTTTCTGAAAATTCTAGGCAAAATACAGTCTATGTACTATTACTAACTTACTCCTGAATTTTTGTGGGTGGTTTGTGGTGACTTATGAGATATGAGTGAGCTGGCCATATGCTAGAAGCTGGCGCTAAGTGAATAAAAATACACCCAGTCTGGCAAAGAGATGAGTATGTACTCCGCAGAGGTACTATGAAGCATGCTGCCTAAACTATAAATACTGAATAATGACCACAGCACCTGCAACAATATATGGCAATTAAAGTAGTCATAAAAGTCATGGCATATATTTTTTTTAGCCATGACCTTTGTGGGAATAAAAGAGAAGGCGAGAGGCAGAGAAGGGAAAGGAAAGGTAGATTTCTCTTAAATTCAGGACTTGCTTTAGAACTTTATGATATTTTTCAATAAATTCAAACATTTTTCCTTAAAAGAGTTGTTTCTTCCCTGGGCACATTTTGAAGTTTTCCTTTCTGTTATAGATTATCCAGCATGGAAACAATTTTAAAAAAGCATTTTCTGGAAAATATCGTTGGAAGAAATTGAATAGGGCTAAAAGATCACTCAGACTGTAGAGTACGACGCAGAGGGGAAATCTCGCACAGCTCACTGACTGAACACTAAAACCTTAGGAGTTAGCATCTTTGTTGGGAAAATATAGATATTTAGGAGAGGCAAACTTTGATCAATTGATAAGCCCATCTGGAGGGGAAATGTTCTTCTAAAATTCATGCTAAAATGTTGCTTTCAACCATCAATATTATTTCAGGTCACACAACCATTTACCAGCCCTTCTACAAAAATCTCACAGTTTTGAAACTTTTTAAACTTGAAAATAATTTATAATTTTAACAGGAGAGCTGCTATATCTTCTAACTAATTCCCTTTATGGAAGCAAAAAAATATAATAATCTATAACCCATCACAGCTGTTTGGCTAGAATTACCAATTACCTTCAATGCCTTTGAGATATTTTCCAGATTTTTACAAGTCTGCATAGTAAATTTTTAAACCAATTTTGTTAAAGAGGACTGATAATATTTAAAACCTTTTAGGCATATGATGACGTATTTCACTCAAACAATTTGAATATAAAATCAAGGCTTTGCATAACCAGAGGAAAATGGAGACAGGAATTAAAAATAAAACACAAACTAAAAATCTGCGATTATTTTAAAAAACATTGAGCTTCAAAATATGCTTTTCTTTTACATTTGAACATGGATATGATAGATTTGTGAGAATCAGTCAAACAGGTAACGAAGGCTAGCAACAAAAAGGACACATGTGGTCTCTCCTTGTCGCCAACTCTGATTGCTCCTGCAGTCCCTGCACTTGGGAGGCTTTGCTATTTTTCAGACAGTTGCAAAGTGGATAATTGTGTGTCTTCCCCACACCTCTGTAGGCAAAGTAAATAAAGGGGTTTAGAAAAGTGTCACCACTTTAAATAACTAGATTACACGGAATCGATAGGAAATGTTCAAGAAGTTAATAAAGCAATTACTTAAGGGGAGAGAGCAGTGGTGTGGGGTAGAGGAGCTTGAAAGACTAACGGCGCACATCACCCCTAATGCGGATAAATAATTAAGAGCGGGCTGTAAAGTCATCAGTACAGCTCCACACCTGATTGCTCCCACGGATGGCCCCACATGCTACCATTAATTTTCTTTCTTCATTTCGGTACACTTTTGCTCATGCATTCTAATTATTTTTAATCATACACATTTTTATGGGGCACAGTGTGATCATTCTATACATGTATGAAATGTACAATGACCAGATTAGGGCAATTATCAATTCTACCTTTCTAAACACTTTTTTTTAAAACAAAACCAGCTAACACATCATAATTGTTTCTTCTCCTTTACACAGAGGAATGTGCCTCCCTGATCCTCGCCTGTCTCTTCTGCCAGTTTTGGGAATGTCTCCTCATGCTCCCTGACACATGCGAAACCATGTGCGTCAACCTGTGCTGCCCCTCCCACAGGTATCACCACACCGCAGACGAGGGCCACTCGCGCAGCGACTGCAGCTGCAGCTGCGATGTGGACTGTAGCCTCTTTGAATCGTGCCATGAGACCAGTGAGTGCCTGGAGCTGGCCATGGAGATTTCAGAACTCTGTTACCGCTAGCACGATGAAGGAGCCATGGCCTGGCAGTCCTTCTGGCCACGACAAGGCTGAAGTCTCTGTGGGCCAGAAAGCAAGGACTGCACATAATTCTTGGAAGCTCTAGGCCATTTTATTCTGCACCTGTCTGCAAAAGTTAGTATTGTCAACTCAGTGGTCTCACTCCAAATTTCACAACCGCATGGCTCACTGAAAAATAAGATTCTTGATCAACATGATGAACAAATCTTAAATACCTCTTAAATGCCATAGGTACAAGATGTTTCTTGATTATAAAACAGCATGTGAAACCACTCTGTATTCTTGAATTCATCAGCTTGCATCACGGATTCAACCTCATTCACAAATTCAGGCCAAATTAATGTTTTGTTTCAGCATTGACATACATTAGCTCATCTTTCTAATGGACTCATGCATAAACATTATGCATTGTTGGTTATTATTAATAATGTATTGTATAACATCACTTTGTAATTAAAAATTTATTTATACAGTCTCTTAAAATTCACTTATATGTACAGTTTGGGGTAGGAAAGGGAATTAAATGAATTAGAAACCATGTTCCTGTAATTACAACAGATGTCTCTAAAATATCTCCAGTGAATTTTGAGTCTAGTATACTTCAGGAGATTACTATAATTTTAGACTGCATTATTATATGTCTGTGACTATGTCATAACAGGTTATACATATTCTTAATCTCTTAGAGAAAGGCTCTTTATTCTAATAAACATAAAGGGGAATAATGTGCAAGTTTCAAGAAAATGATCTCTGACAATTCTCCATTTTCCTCATTTCTGTTTGTCAGGTACATTAAGCAACAGGATATTAAAACAGAATCATTTCATTTTACTGAAATATTATTTGTGTAGACATCTAAAATAAATACATACCACAGGTAATTTCAGTTCCAAATTTTTAAAAATAGCATTTCCTTCATAAACTACATTTTCATAAACTTTATAAACTTCATAAATTCTCCTTTTCCATTAAAAAATAATAATTACAATAAGCACATCTTTGCTCTTATGATATCACTTTTAAAAATATGAATATGAGCTGTGAAATTATTTTGAATTTTAAAAAACCCAACAACTCACATGGAAACACATCTAGGTTGAACATACTGTGAAACTTTATTTTCTTCAGGCATCCTTCTATAGCTACCAGGCACATAAATTGCTTATTAATTGTTATTTGTGTCTTCCCATGAAGGTAACTCAGTATACTCACTAAATATACAAAGCAGAATGCATCAATAGCCAAACCAAGAACAGAAAAGTAGAAGGGAGAGTAGAGACAGATTGTGTGTGTGTGTGTGTGTGTGTGTGTGTGTGTGTGTGTGTGTAATTTAGGAAAAACAGTAACAACAAACCCCAAAATACCTGTTTTTGCCTACCTTGAGTAATTTCAGGCCAAAATATGTGTTTTATTCTCAAGTAAACTTGGCCATTTGTCTAATCTGCAAGGAATTCCCCATGGCACTGAGAGCTGCTGGCCTTTGCACCCCAGCCACCTCTGGTGGGAGCTAGGGGCTCCCAACTTGCTGAGGCTACAGGGCGGCCGGCGCTCCCTTGGCTCTCACGTGCACCGCCTCTCCTGCAGCATGTGTCGGCTCGGCCTGCGGATGCTCGAGCTCTATATTCCATGCATAGAATTTACAGATTAAAAAAGTTGTTGAGCAGGAGGGGAAGCTGCGGCTATTCTTTCTTACCCAGGGCTCCCGTACTTCACAAGGGGAAAAGGAGGCCCCTGGGAAGGCCCTGCCCAAGATGAGCTCACAGCAACATCAAGACTCTCACTTGAGGTCTACTTTTCTGACTATACTTCCCTGCGGCACAGTTCTTTCCCTCCCAGTCCAGTTCATACCCAGTAGTACAGCTGTCACAACTGTTAAAATACCGTACTAAAATACTAACAGACTGGCTCATAAACAGTGGTAACTTTGAGCCTCCTTTGTGTTTCCTCCCTGTGTGCAGACCACTCTGGCTACTCTCCAAGTACACTCCCTCCTTCAGATCTAGCCACTAAAGGAAGAGCCAAGGGGTCCTGGGGCCCTGTCCCAATATTATGGTGTCTGGAGTCATTGATCAGGGCAGGCCCTGTGAGTAGTAGATATTTGATCACCAAAATATTTATTCTTAGGGTCAGCCAAATAGCTCAGGGTGTTAAAGTGCCTGCTTAGGCAGACACAGCAGCCAGGGTTGGATTCCCGCCCTGCAGTGCCAGCCCCGCCCTTGGGGTGCACTGAGACAACGATTGAGACTGGGCATGGTGGCGCGCATCTGTAATATCAGCTCTTGAGAGGCTGAATACAGGTGGATCACTACGAGTCCAATCTAGTAGTGAGACCCTATAGACCCTGTAGACCCTTGCTAAAATACAAAAGAAATTATTCTTATTAATTTATATACACTATCAATTTAAGTGAAGAGTGTGCATTTCAAATGCATTATTCATTCTACATTATTCTCTCTAATCTACATTATTCTTTCTAATTCTTCAACATTGTTGCATTTCAAATTTTAATTGAGAATTTGTCAATTACAGACATAAAAATCACCAGGTCTTCTTTTACAATGTGGTCAGAACACTCCAAGATCTTTCTGTGGCCTCGCTTTCCATGGTTTGTTAACTTGCTCCTCACTTTAAGAATTCACCGTGCTCTAACTGAGAGGGTCAGTTATATAAAGTGTGAAATTTCTTTTCTTTATAGCCAATAATAAAACATCATCCTTTTTGCAAACATGAATGGGTGTTTCAATTGAATTCTTACATAATAAAACATACACAGTTGGAAACATGCAATTGCAGGAGAAAGATCAAAAAAAGATGTAGTTATTGATTAAATACAAGTATCAGGATCTGAGAAGACTCAGTTAATATGCAGTGATGAAGGTCTGTGATTATAAAAAAATAAAATGTTATGCTATAAGGTAGGGCTTGCTTGGTGAATGGAGCATTCTAATCTAAGGAATCATGCTAAAATAAAAGAGATTTGAGAACACACAAACTTTATAGCAAATGGAGGGCAGAGATTTTTTTCCACATAGCTGTATACCCATACAGTTACACTGTCTTTGTTCAATGGATTTTTATAAAACCACTTGATCTCTAAAAGCCAACAAAATATGGAAAGCAATGAAGAAACAAAGTTACATTTAACTTGCTCATGAAATCTTCCCACTACATGAACTGATCGGCTTACCAAATTATCGATGCCAGACAGTCAAAGTTAATGGAGCTTCAAAAGTCATTGCAATTTTTTTCAAGGGAGTAAAAACACATATTCACACAAAAAAACTTTACAGACTTTTCATATCATGTGATGGTATGTCAGCGTTTGTGTTCAAGGATAAATGTGTGGGTAGGAGATGGCTGCAGGACAGATTCCATTGACGATGTCTGTGTCTCAACCTATAGAAGAGGAAAGAATAATATATGCTGTGATGGTCAGCTTCATAGCACCAAAGCATAGCAAATACCTGAGATAGTCAACCTATAGGAGCAAAAACAATTATTCTGGCTCACAGTTTTGGAGGTGTGCAGTCCATGTCCTACTGGCCCTGTTGCGTTAGGGCTTGTGAGAAGGAAGTATACCATGGCAAAGCACATCGTGGAATAAAATGACCTCACAGACAACAACTGGAGCAAAGAAAGATGCTGAAACCAGGGTCCCACAATCCCCATCAAGGGCACAGCCTCAGTGAGGAGACCTTCCTCCAGTCACCACCTCTGAAAAGCACCACAATGTCCCAGTAGCGATAGATGGTGGGGTCGAGACTTTTAATACAAGGACCTTTTGAGGACATTTAAGATCCAAAGAACTGCAATGCATGCTGAAGGAAGGTATTCTGACTAGGAATGTTTTGTCTATCAACTTCTAAATTTCTTCAGGTCATGGGAATTTATGGCTTCAGATGAAATGTAATCACTTGATTTAATTGTTGGATTGTATCTGAAGAGAAGATCTGTGTAAAAGTCGTACACTTGCTGTATGTAGTTTCATGTATGCTGTGTGGAAAGGCAGGGCAAAGAGAATTGGATGGTTTTCTAGGAAACGTAAACAGCAAAGAACTAGAACAGTATTACTGAGCCACTCAAAGAGGTCTAGACAGCTTCCCACAGTACAGGGAAGGTGCTCATGATGAGCGTTTCAGGAGAAATAGGACCTGCATCATGATTTGGTTAAAAGTGCCACCTTGGGGCCGGGGAGATGGCTCAGTAGGATAAGCACTTGACTGGCAAACGCAAGGATCTGAGTTCAATCCCCAGTTCTGAAAAAAAAAAAAAAGTGCCACCTTCTGGAGTACCATCTTAATATGCGATACAGTTCTGCTTTTGCTGCTGCTAAATCAATGCTTCTCAAATGATTTGGGCTCCTTTTCCCATTTTGCAAAGTCTAGAAATATAATTGCTTATCAGAATAAAGAGGAGACATTTACAACTAACAATGCTCAGTCTCCTACCAAGCATAGGATAACACTCCACAATAAAAAAAATCCAAATATCAATAATATAAAGGCTAAAAGACCCAACTCAGAAATCTTTCTTCACCAAATTTGCCTTTTAAACTGTTGAAAAAACAATCAGATAAAAATACAAGGTGTCAAGTTAACCTAGAATTTCAGAAAAATAACAAATAATATTTCAGCATGAGATGTGACTGGAAAATATGTGAATGTGGTTTTTTTTAAAAAAACTTCATTACACTAAAAAGCTTTGTCATCAGTCCCCCCACAAAGTCCTTCCCCTTGCTTTAAACCCACGTATCCTGCCACTGCTGCCACTTCCTGAAGTAGCTCGACAAGTTCTCTTTCCTGTCTCTAGCTGCAGTGTCATGACTGCTTCCACATCTTGAACTGATTCAAATTTTTACTGTGCCTGATTATTTTGACTTGGTGGAACAGCCAGGAGTCAGAGGGCATGAGATCTACTGCACGAGGTCCATGAGGACACACAGCAGTGTTTTCATAATGTGGACTTTCTGCGCGGGGTGGCAC